GGAATGCCGTAGAGGCAAGATCTGCTTCGGATGTAAAGTAGAAACCAAGGATTGTACAATAAAAGCTTGTATAGTAGACGATGTGGATGTAACACATACCTTGTCGAGTCCGACAGGACCCAGTGAGGTCTTGACAATGTTGGCAACCGCTTGGCAAGCCACCACTGCAATAGCGAAATCAAAGACGGATCAATACACAGCAAAATTCACACCTGAGACCAGATTCCTGGACAAGACAACGTCAAAAGAAAAACGCTAGAACTCCAAACGGAACTGCGATTTCCGAGGAACAAAGAACAACAAGAAACGGTAAGCAGAAGCCAAGAAAGCAAGATAACATGGGGAAGTGAGACAGAGACAAAAGTACCGTTCTGAGTACGAACATCTTGGCCGGATTGCCTTTCGCCGGAAATATCCGGATTCTGGGCAGAGATCGACATTTCTGTTCACAGCACGAACAGCGAATGAGAAAAAATGGCGAGAAACGGAGCACTGGATCGGAGATTTGAGAGCTCAAAGGAACAAAAAGAGCAGAGCACTCGAAACTTTGCGCTTACACTGACGAGGGGAGAATGTTTCTTGAACGCTCAAAGGACGCTGTCCGATTTTGTGATGGGAGAAAATGGACTGCGGGTTTAAAACAAATCGCTGAATGAAGGGTATGAGCTAAACGGCGGCGTTTCATTCGCTTTCGCTTTCTTAACATATTGAATTGGGCTGATAAGATATTGAGCCCATTTATTATTAAGGCTCCTTTATAATGTCTATTTGGGTCTAACGGGCAAACCGAAAACTGCATTCATTGAAATTTTGGACCGAGTTTTTATAATCCAAATTATTTATATACTAAGTCCAACACATAAAAGCCCATAGGTTTCGCGGGCTAGCCCGAGTGGCCCGCATTGTTTTCCTATTTTTCAATTTTATATTTATAATCGTGTAAAAAAATGTTAGATTATTCTAATATGTTAGATGTCCATTACGGTGTCACATAATATATTTATTATTTACAATCAATTCAATGCTCATGAATTGATATACTTTTTTTTATCCGTAATATGAATTAAGATCGGCAATATATAGTAAGAGATCTCTTGCCGTCGAGATCGAGATAACGTTATGTGAGTGAGCAGTCAATTTCGGATTTGGCTGGAATAATTATCCAAAACTCAGAATTTATCATCAAATTTAAGTCCTATATAAAAACGTGTGTTTAATATTGTAATGACCCAGTTGGAATGATTTCGTTAATTTGTTATTGTAGTTGGTCCACAAGAATACATCTTCTTCTTTACCCAAAAAAAAAAAAGAATACTTCTTTAAATAAAAATGTACGCCATTCGAATTACACATCATAGCATTTATGATTAAATGTTAAAAAGATAATTCCAGAAAATGATCCCAATACATGGTTTCTATAAACTTGGTAAAAATATCTGAAATTTTTTTAACTTATAATTTGCTATAATATTAATTTCTAAATTTGGAACTTATATTTTTGAACACAGTAATTTCTGAACTTGTATTTTTTTAATACAATAATTCTTAAATTTTTATTTTTCAATAAAATAATTCATACATTTTGTTTTGGTCAATTAATGGTATGGACGATTATAAAATTATTAAATAAATTTAAGAATTACTGTGTTCAAAAATACAAGTTCGGAAATAAATAGGTGCACCTACAAATTCATTAATTAATATTACACCGAATTACAAGTTCAAGAATTTTCAGTTATTTTTCCTTTACCACGCATCCATGGCCCTATATATATACATATACACACACATACGTGTGCATAATCATTCATATACATACATCGTACATAGATAACTGTATGTGTTGTGCATGGTGAGCTGATTTGTCATGCAAGTAGTTGGGAAATACCACGTGGACGGTGGAGATTCTCGCAGGAACGGAATGTGGATTTGAGAGTGACTTGATGATAAAGACATAAAACGTAGGCCATGACGCCTCATTTATGGACGATTTCGAACCAAATGGTCCCAAAGCCAATCGACTACACACATTATATATATATATGTATGTATATATACAGAGAATGTGGTTGACGTACGTGGAATTGTTCGCACCATGGATGAATTTATATTTTTTTTTTGGTTATGCACCATGGATGAATACTACTCTTCTCACACTATTCAACGTATCTGAATAACCATACGGGCTTACAATAATCGCAATAGTATATACAGTATTTCCAAATATCACATTCATACGTGGACACAAAAAAAAAATACATGATTGGATATACTTTGGACATATGTGTATAATGTAGTGATGAGAAAAGACAACAAATTGACTTTGGACAATCCTGCT